ACCTGAGGAAACCAGTTGTTGGAGGTTTAGGAGGACCTGAGGAAACCGGGAAACCACACCCATCTACATCTGAACTGAAAGAGAGGTTTATTTTATTCACTTTACATATTTTTTCTCATTTTAGTCTTATTTTTCTTTGTTGTTTTGTCCCAGTTATGATTGTTTTTTTTTCTTTTGGTTTGTTTCAAGTGTCAACGATGGTCCCAGTTTCTGATTTTTTTCCAGGTCCTCCTTGTCCTCTGAAGCCTTCTTCTGGTCCCTGTCATAGATGTTTTAAATGAAATTATGACAAAACACCAGAGGTCCAGAAGTCCGTCCCCAGCAGGTCTGTTTGCTCATGTGTCTCCGTCTTCATCAGACATTTGTCTCTGTGTGATGTCCCTGCAGGGTCCGCGGTGGTGGACTGGCTGGTGTTCATGCAGCTCACTCTGACCCGGGTGGATGCTCTAACTCTGGCCTCGGCTCTGCTGGAGGAGGGCTTCCTGCGGACGGTGGGCCTGAAGAGCATGGAAGGCCTTCGCAGCGCTGGCCTCAGCGAGCAGTTCATGGACGACTCCACGGCGCTCTACAGCTTCGTGCGTGCTCACTCCAACTGACTCGTTTGGTGCACTGATTTCTGGTGTGATGGTGGAGTCTGAACCTGTCTGAACTCTCAGTCTGACAGTTTGAAGAAGAGAGGCAGCGTGAAGGCAGAGACGTCGCTGTCTGCAGTGGAGCTGAGCGGGAAAGTCAGGAAGAAAGGATACCTGCTGAAACAGGTAAACACGTCTCAACGAGAGAAAAGACTTCGTCTCACTGCAATAATTTTTAAAGTGGTTTCAAAGCGGTTCATGTTGATTGATCTTTACTTCCAGGGACACCGAAGGAAAAACTGGAAGGTGCGACTGTTCGTTCTGCGTTCAGAACCGGCCTTTCTTCATTATTATGATCCCACCAGGGTGAGTATCTGAACACTCTGAAGACCACTAGATGCTCAAACACTGTTGAACTTTTCAATTTAATTTCACCTTTTGAGAGGTGCGGTAGCTCGGTGGTCAGTGCCATGGCCCATAATCCTGAAGCTGCAGGTTTGAACCCTGGTTGCGTCAGGAAGTGTAAAACAGTCACGAGTTTGCCTGCTGTGGTGACCCCTGCAGAAAAGAGCAGCCAAAAGAAAAACATTTGAACGTTATAATAATAATATATGTATACATATAATAATAATTATAATAATAATAATTTTATTTAAAAAGCGCCTTTCATGACACCCAAGGACACTTTACAGTAAGAACAAAGATCAACAGGAATATATTACATAAAGAATATAAAATGCATAAAGAATATAAATTACATAGAGCAAAGTTAAGGATAAGCGAGTCTAAAGAGATGTGTTTTCAGAGCAGTCTTGAATAGAGAAAGAGAGGTGGTGTTTCTTAAGTCAGGGGGTAGAGAGTTCCAGAGATGAGGGGCAGAGCAGGTGAAGGCCCTGCTACCCATGGTGGAGAGGCGGGCAGAGGGTACATGGAGGTGTAGTGAAGAGGAGGATCTGAGAGAGCGAGAGGGGATGGAGATGTGTAGGAGGTCAGATAGGTACGGAGGGGCAAGGTTGTGGATGGCTTTGAAAGTGAGAAGAAGAATTTTGAAGACGATGCGTGATTTAACCGGGAGCCAGTGGAGCTGCTGCAGGACTGGAGTGATGTGGTTATAGGAGGAGGTTTGAGTGATGACACGGGCAGCTGAGTTCTGGAGCTGAGTTCTTATTCAAGCAGGAAGTCTTTCTGAAACACGACAACTCGTTTTTAATAAAGACGTGTTACAACAAAATAATAGAATGGAAACAATGAAATCAAAGAGCCTAAAAGAACTGGGTAGAACACAATCAAAACTAATGTGCATGCATCTTCTAGAGTCCTTAAAACATTTAAATGCCCCCAAAAACCAAGAAGAAAAAGATCTTGTTACAGTGTGCTCCAGTAGGAGAAGGTCTTTAGGCCGAGGACCGAAGGAACGCTGCAGGTGATGAAGGCCTGTGGGCGACGCTGCAACTGCACCGATATGATGTGGGTGGAGATATACTGTATGACGCGAGCAAGGAGGGATACACAGATGAAGATGTTCCAATGCCAGAACCCTGCTGTGGATAATGGGTCCATTGATGAAGATGTTCCAATGCCAGAACCCTGCTGTGGATAATGGGTCCATTGATGAAGATGTTCCGGTACCAGAACCCTGCTGTAGATAATGGATCCATAGATGATGTTCTGGTGCCTGAACCCTGCTGTGGATAATGGATCCATTGATGAACATGTTCCGGTACCAGAACCCTGTTGTAGATAATTGATCCATAGATGATGATGATTGACCTCCAGCAATCTAAGCCTATAGCAGCAGAACTAAGGGATAGCTCAGGAAACCCAAGCCAACCCAAACTGTAGGACTGATCTAAAGGAAAGTCTTTAGTCTTAATCCAGACAGAGTGTCAGCATCACAGACAGAAGCTGGAAGTTGGAGCCTGAAGCTCTGCCTCCTGTTCTACTTTTGGAAACTCTAGGAACCACAAGTAAACCTGCAGTCTGAAAGCGAAGCGCTCTTTTGAGAAAACATGAAACAATAAGATCTGTAATATAAAATGCAGTTAAGTAGTTGAGATATTTGTTTGTTAGAAGTGAGAGAAGAAAGAAGCTAAATCTGGAGAAAACTGATCTCTGGTAAAACGTCTGAGATTGACAGTCCCGGCCCAAACACGTCAGCTCTTATTGCTACTTCAGAGATGTGACTCTGGCAGGACTCATAATGAAGTCAGAAGACTTCCTGTCTGGCTCGCTATCTTCCTGTCTTGAGTCATGATGACATCACTTCCTGCTGGTGTCTGACTCACTCTCTTCCTGTCTTGTCAGGATGACATCACTCCAGTTGGTGGCTTCTCTCTGCGAGGGTGTCTGGTTTCTTCTCTGGGTGATAATGGAGTTCCATCAGGTGTGTTGACTCAAACCTCTGTCACGTCACCTTTACCTGAAGCGTTCCAACCCAACATAAATACCACATGACTCATGTCTACACATGTTTACAGCCAAACTGTGCTTTGGGCTTTTTAAACAACGATGAACCTCATTTGAACACGACACAGTCCTTCACTCTGTTCCTTACTGATCTACATAGTTATTTCTGTCCAATTTGTTTTTATCTTCATTTCTCAGGTTGTTCATTGGAAGTAGATTATGTCTTATGGATTATTGAGCATGCATCAGGATATTATGTCTTATGGTTTTATTTTTACGTCTCTCCTCTGCAGGTGTGAAGGGAAACATTCAAGGCAACTTGTTCAAAATCATCACCAAGTCAGACGTTCATTACTACATCCAGGCTCCAAGTCACCAGGAGAAGATGGACTGGATCGATGCCATCAGAGAGCAGACGTAGACTTCTGTGAGAGCTGACTGATGTTTCAGTTTGGACACCATGAGATGAGGATGATGAGGATGGCATGGAGTATGAGGACTGTGAGGATGGTGAGGATTATGAGGATGCTGAGGATAATGGGGATGAATAGGATGGTGAGGATAATGGGGATGATTAGGATTATGAGGATGGTGA